CGCTGAAGCGTCGACCATTTCTGGCCGGCAACTTTCAGCGTCATTAAGCCGCTGCGCTTAATGACACACTAACACTGTTAAACACACTTTCAACTTTAACTTTAAGCAACTTTCAGCGTCATTAAGCCGCTGCGCTTAATGACACACTAACACTGTTAAACACACTAGCACTGTTTAAATGCTAGGAGCCCTTAAAGATGAGTGGTAATGTACCAACAAGACAGGGCTAGTCAGGAAAAAACGTGCACTTGCAGATCTGCTATTGGAAGTTTTAATGTCATTCCTTTCCTCAAAATGATTCCCTTCCTAATCTGCAAGAGTCACAACCTCAACAAAAAGACGTGTGTATCTAGAGTAATGAAGTAAGAGACCTAACTCGCATTTCACCATTTTCAGAAACAATCCTTACATGGTAGAAATATAAGGACTCAAACATTAAGTGCGTGTTATGTCAGATCTGTAGAACACGCACTAAAGAATATTCTTCTATCAATACAAAATCCTCAAAGCAGGTTCTTCTCTTCCAGTTCTTTAAACTGACTCAAAGTATTATTGAACATCATCCATTTTGCTATCTGAACAGGTTACTCATTTTATTTCTCAAACAACTTAGTTGCCATAATAGTTGACACCTTTTTAGACTTTACAGAATAAAAACAAAATGTAAAATTCATATAAATCAATTCTGAGCATTCTGTGTGTCAGTACTCTTCTTGTACCTCTGGGTGGGTGGGATGCAAGCAACACTATGCTGGCTTGCAAAATACTTTATAGAATAGGGTAATACTGGTATCGCTGGGCACTGGACTTATGGCATAATGGCCGAAATGTGCCAAACCTGGCTGCCATGGCCTCATCTGGCACAAGTGTGCCTAAGATCAGGAACCTAGTCTAGCTCCTTCTGCATTACTAGAAAGCATTATGTGAATGTTTTGACTGACCAAAGCTGTGATGGGCAACCAGAGGTCAGTATCTATGGATACATGGAAGATTAGGAGGAAATAGTAATATGTATGAATTAATGAAGAAATTTAAAAAGGTACACTGGATACCTGGGAAACTAAGAGAAAGGGGAAGGATATTCTGTAGTAGATCTGCATGCAGGTGGTCTGCTCTTGTGAAGTACAGCAGAGAAGGGAAGGTGTGGGTTTAATTATGAATGAAAGAACTAAAATGTAGGGCATCCTCTAGGTTGCTTTGGGTATGTGTGAAAGAAGAATCTGCAGGTTGGTGATAGCTTTGGGTTTCCCTCCTGTGGAGGAAATTCTGCCATCTACTGAATGAATGCCATCCAGGGGAAAGCAATCATGGCTAGGAGACATAAACGGATGGGTGGGAGCGAGGGAAGAAGTACAGAAAACTAATGTGGGGGGCCATGTACGAAGGAGGAGATGGGTGTGGAGGACAGTTTGAAAGGCTAGGAAAGGACGGAGAGGAGCAGCAAATGGGACTGGTATGTGGTAGGTTTAGCTGTGTTTCCTTTCTTTTTCTTTTTCTCATGCCTTAAATTTCTTTGGCTCTTGTTTCACTCTCCTTTTCTGTGCTCTACCTAATGCTGCTTAATCCAAAAAGGATTGGTTTGTCCGTAGATATGGGTAGGTAAGTATAAACATCCATTCAAAAGCAGCACAAGACATTAATTAAGCAGTAGTCATGGGGGTTCAAGAGCTACTCTTTCTGCTCAGTCTCCTCTGGCCTGCAACTCTCCTGAGGTGGACTCAACGGAAAGAGGGTTTCCGAGGAGACTCCCTCTTCAGCATTTTCAGAATTGGAACCAGGGTAGTACTGCACAGGCTTCTTGAGAGCAACCATATTGAGAATTTCTTCCACACAACTTAATTCTGCTGCTCAGAATAAGATCTTGGAAGCCAATGGCCTAAATTGGCTGAGTCATGGGAACAAAACTCTTTAAATTCTCCTTTCTTGTGTGACCTAAACATCATCACCTAATCTTCTTTACGAATGTAACTCTTCAATTTGTTTTCAAATTCACCATGCCCCCTAAGAACTATAAGTGCTTAACACACTCTTGAATGAGTCACAATAGAATTTAATTTAAAATGCACATATCATGTTCTTTATACAGAACTCTACCACTGAAGAAAATATATTCCAAAAAATAACTTCCTGTACTATTTCCTTTTTGTTCTCACAAGCACAGAAAAATGTTTAAGAAAAGTACACTTCAAATTCCTCCATGAGGCCAAGAAACTTGATTTTTTTGAACTAAAATATTTGTGCTGATGGAAAAAAGCAAGTCTCCCTGGGCTGCCTTCTCCAGAGAAGCCCACAAAGCAGAAGAGAAATGCAAAGGTCCTCCTAAGCTGGTTTTCAGCACTGATAAGCTGACAGGGTTTACTTGTCTACTCAGCGGGGAGGGGGAGGGGGAGGGAAACAACCCTGATGGCTAACCTCTCCCTTCCTCCAGTCTGTGCCTTCTATTCACACGCTGCCTCTTTTCTTCTTGTCTTAACTGGAGATGTTCTTCAAGGTTAACTCCGGGCACAGGGACAGCTGCATCAAAAACAGGAAAAATGGTCACTGTTCATACCGCTGTTCATACCGCTACAGCCCTCCGCTACTCTCACACAGGGATCCCTCCATTGCAAGCAGAGTCCCTTCCAATTAAAGGGGTGGGCTACGGCGTAGGTCTGAAGGGGCTGGGATGCTTCCCTTTCCTGAGTTCCACGTCATGCTGACCTGCAAGGACCCTACTCTTTGGAAAGGGATTTGGCAGCTGGCCGAGGAGAGAAGGAGGGAGGCAAGGAAGCCTTGTTCTGTTAATAAACAAGGGGGCCAAGAGAAAGCATGGAAACAATAAGAATGTGAAGATGTCAAATTTGCTACAAAGATGGGTGACCAAATCTCACTTAGGCAGGTACTTCTCCCTGCCACACAGGGAGACCATTACAATCCCTTTAAACACAACTCCAAAACTAGTCTGGGGCCATTCTATTTCCAGCAAATTTCTAAAACAGGAGAGCAAAAATAACTTGTATGAGATTAAATGGAGCACTGAAGTACACAGAGCAAAGTAAATACAGTACATTACAAAATGTTAATTCTAATAGGGGTGTATTTTAATGAAGGAATTAATTCTTTATAGTAAAAATTTTAAATGATGACTTGAAGAAAAAAAGTATTTTAGACATTTAGAACAACACACTGTAGAGGGGATCCATCCATCCGCCTCTTCACCCTTAACCTTCCTCCAATAGAAAGCGCTCCAAAGTTACCAGCTGCACGGGCATTTCAGAGTAGGTTGTAGGGCAATCGGCCGCCTAGAGGCATTTTACTCTTACCCCATACCGTACTTTGTTTGGAGGGGGGGAAAGCAGCACTGAAATTCAGCCATTTTATAGCCAAATCTGATGGCAGAGTTTTGGGGCCCCAGTGCACTGATTAGTTTGGGCTTCCCATTTTGTTTCTTCCCCTGGTGCCTTACTAAGAGCGAAATGAAGATTATCAAACAGGTAACCTAGGAGAAGCCAATGTATTCCAGAGAACTTTTACGACAGACTGAATTTTTGGAGCATTACATTTTTATATTTTAGTGGGAAGAACCCCCCCCCCCGAAAGCCCAAAAGTAGTATCTTATTCCAAGCTAACCCTTGAGACCCCCGACGCTGACTGCTGAGGTAAAATGGTGTAGGATGGCAAGATTTCATTTTCCCTGAGGACAACCTTCTTTCAACAACCAGAGCTTTCAGTCGCAGTCGCCCGCTGGAAGGTTTTTAGAAAGCACCCTGGCTCGGAATTGTGCTTGCTTACCCAGCAGAAGGTCCAGGGGTATCATCTCTTTGACGGCGTCAAGGATCCCTCTCTGCCGGGCCTCCTGCCCGTCCAGCTCTCTGGCGCAGGCTTTGCAACAGCCACACACAGCACAGCCAGATTCCCCAGAGCCACAGCCACAGATCCTGCAGGAAGCAAAACGACTTGTTTCTATTGCGAGGTGCGCAGAGGCCGTGTGCTGCACTGGGCACCACCGGAGCTCAAAGCGAAGAGGAAAGCAGCAGCTTGGGGGGCCTCTGGGAAGGACCCAAGCTCCATCGGGCATCCATTCGGAGGACTGCCTCTCCCCAGCCAGACAATCTCCCATGAACTGCCCAGTCCAGAACCATCACCACCACAAAAAACCAGCATCTCTTCTTCCAAGACACTGAAGCCCTCCAAGGCCAGCAAGCTCAGGAAACAAGAACCACAAGGATGTCTGAAATGAACTTGATTGTGTAACAGGATCCGCGAAAGCCTGCTGAGGCAACGCATACCCAGCGTAATTCAGCCAAGCTTTCCCCCTCCCTTGGGCAATGGCATCTGTTCTGTAGTGGTCCAACTCTCATTCGCCGCATCCCAGGGTCAGTTAGACCTTCTCTCGCCAAGGCAGAGCGCACGGCAGAGGATAGCCTGAGGACCCCCTCCCCTTGCAGCATGGTTTTTGTAAAGCAGGTCTGAGTTAATCACCTGCCCCAGGACATCCTGGAAGTCCTATTTCATGTCCCTGGATGCCCAACTTATCTCTCTTTCTTCCTGAACGGACCCGCAAACCACTGAATTGAACACTGGTGCTGCACTTGAGTCCAAGTATGTATTTCTTACTTAGGTTCCCGGCACAGCTTACAAGTTGGCCACTTGGAACTTTAATCGTTGCTTGAATTAATTACATCCTAATCTAAAAATATCCATCCCCCAGTTAGTTGAAGCAGGGTCCATAAAGCTGCTGGGTGCATCTTTGGGAAAGACCCCCAACCTTGCCTTATCCATCTGCACATGACAGTTTGCCCGGGTAAACTTCCATCTCTATTATAAAAATGAAAGTTTAACTCATAAGTTAGCTCCTCCAAAGTCTGAAACTATTTTGCAGATATCTGTTCCAAACATTTGTTCAAGGGACTGACGAGTAACCCGAGTAGCAAAAAGGGGGGGGGTGAGAAAGGGGGAGCCCCCCCATTCCTTCAGCTGCCTGGACGACGCCTCCACTTACCCTCCCGGCACCCTGTCCGGCCGCCCGCTGCTCACACAGCTGGCCCCGTAGCCCGTGCAGTCTCCGCAAACGGTGCACACCATGCACTGCTCCAGCTTCCACTTGTGCATTCCTGGCAGGCACATCATGGACTTCTCATCTTTTTCGTCCAGCTCCTCTTCTAAATCTTCATCCATGGCTGTGGCCATGTTCTCAACTCCAAAACCTCCCCAAGAGAAAACAGTCTTAACTAGATTTCATCCATCAAGACCCTCATGCAGAAACAGCGTATTTTACGTTAGCGTATGTTGCAGATCATTTACGCTCACTGGACATTTCTAGGAAAAGATCAAATGTGGCGATAATTTCCTCCCTGCCCCCCAAAGCCTCAGCATCTGAAATTTCATTTTCAATCAAAGCAATCTCCTTTTATGTAAAAACTTGGGAAATATGGCTTATTCTACCAATTTGCTGTATTAAACCTTGATCAGATCTCACCCCGAGTTGGGACAAATATAGCTTATCTAATTCATACATGCCTAACCCAAGGTCATAATATGACTTATCCTGGATTTAGCAGGGCCACGCAGGGTGATTTGCACATCACACTAAGCCAGAAATTAGGCACTGCAGCTTCAGGAAGGGCCCTACATTACATTCTCAGAGGCATTCCTAAGTGTGAGCATGTTACAGGAAAGGAAATAAATCCATTAACTAGAAGTCTATTAAAAAGTGAAATCAAAGCAATGCAAAACAACATGGACACTGTCCTTAACAACAATGAATGCCATAAGACAGAAAAGAGGAGAAATGAAGGCACCACTGACCTTTCCCCCCATGGCTCATGGACCCAGTATCTCGTCCACACTGCCCTTTGTTATTCACCCCAAAGGTCCAAACCTCTCCATTCTTCATTAACACACAAGTGTGAGCTTTGCCCATGGCTACTTGTGTTGCAAAGTGGCCTTTCAAGTCTGTTATTAAGCCTATAAAATGAACACATATTGGAATAGTGAAAAACTTTTTTCCTAATTTTACAGAATCCACATATAGCTATGAAGTTTATCAACATCTCAGATTGGAGGAAGAAAGATGACAGGCTTTAATATTAAAAGCTACATTAAGTTTTGCAACATTTTACAGGTAGTCCTCGCTTAACGACCACAATAGGGACCAGAAAATTTGTTGTTAAGCGGGGAGGTTGTTAAGCGAGTTGTGCTCAATTTTACAACCTTCTTTGCAGCACACATTAAGTGAATAACCATGGCCATTAAGTGAATCGCGTAGTCTTTAAGCAAATCACACGGTTCCCCACTGATTTTGCTTGCTGGAAAGGTCACAAATAGTGATCACATGACCCCAGGACACTGCAACTGTTGTAAGTGCAAGCTGGTTGCCAAGTGCCCGGATCACAATCATGTGACCATGGGGGTATTGCGACAGTTGTAAATGCAAGGAATGGTTGTAAATCCCTTTGTTCAGCACCACTGTAACTTCAGTCGCTAAACAAATGGTTGTTAAGTGAGGACTACCTGTAACTGTGATAGTTTTGGATTATTTTAACAGAATAACTATCTGTAAGTATTTGGAACTGTTACTAAAGCAAGCAAAAAGCAATAGTACAAATGCTTACACGGTATTGAGTAAAATGTAACTGCATCCAGTACGACAACATCATTCCCGCCTTCTGAAAGTTAGCTTCACTAGCCAATGTCACAGATTGCAAACTTTTTGCCAAGTCAGCCATATTACTTGCTTTAAAACAGCTAAAATTTCAACTTACTTGTACTATCAGAGTAAATAGCATCTTTCCCAAACATGTACAGTTCTCCATCTTTTGAAATGACTGAACTACTTCCATTATTGCACGCAGTATACACTACAATTTTTCCTTCCATTTTGATGATTTTTTTTGGCTTATATGGTTTAGATTGCCGCCTGCTTTTGGCTTAAAAAGAAAAGTGTAAACATTACAGGATGTACGTTTTATCATGAAACTGGGAAAATAAACACATTTATTAAATGGCATTATCAAAGAATGAAACAGAAACAGAAACTAAGTACTGAATATCTATTACACCTTCTTCACTGGTATTTCTGTAAATTTACGGTCAAAATCAAACGAATGAAGGTTGTGACGATGGACCACATGGATCCTTTTTAGATACACAGCAAAGCTCCAATTCACAAAGCAATGGAGATCTGATCGGAGTAACCAATTAAACTGCAAGACTATTCAAAAGGCTCTAAACTAAAGGAACCCATGCAAAGCCCACCCCTCTATCTACATAAACCAAAAAAAAAAAGGGATCTGCAGTCCTGTGCATTAACTCCACTGCAGAATGCATCATTTGTGCATTCATCACTAGTACAATATTCAAATAAACAAGTGCTCGCACAATCTAAGATTACGCCACTGTTTGCCCATTTCAGCCAAGTACAATTTTTTTAAAATTAAAGGTTTTTTTGACAGAAAAAATATGCACAGGAGAAATAACGCGTCTAGGAGCATCCTTTATTGAGATGAAAAAATATAAGGGGCTAGAACTCCATTTCTGCTAGCTTCATTTTCATTTAAAATATGTAGCATCTGTGACAGTAATTAATGCAAAGAAACCAAACCACCGTTACAACTGCAATTATTGTTTCTCAAACATACTTGATTCTCCATCTTCCCCTTTACTAGCTGAGCCTGTGAAAAATACGCTTCCATCTTCTGCAACAAGTAAGGCATGGGAGCCATCATGCCCCACTGAGAACTGAACAATCTTTGGAGATTTGGTAATAGGCAACTCCACCCATTTCCCTGCTGAAGGACCACCTTGCTTGATTCCAAGACTCTGGTATTTGCCAGTGTAATAAATCTGGGGAAGGAGTTGGGACAAGGAGAGGTAAGACCAAAGAACAAAACTGACATACTGAGAGACGGATCAGTTTTTCAAAAAAGACTTTACTTTTAGTTACATTATTGTAATTAGTATAATTACATCATCAATTTTATTCTTAAATCACTTTCATTTCCAGTTGAGCCAAAACAGGTTAGATAGTAATAACAATATTCTATTAAAAACAACTTGATATAAGCAATAAACCATTAAAAAGAACCTCTCATAACCATAACACCATTTTTATTTATTTTGTACATTAGATCTACATCTCACTTTTCCTTCAGGAGCTGAAAGCAGTATTTAATAGGATCCCTTCCCCCATCCCCCCCCAAAGAACGAATTTGTGAGGTAGGTTGGGCTGAGTCCAAAGTCACCCAGGGAGTTGCTGTGGCTCGGGGGGATCTGAACTTGGGTCTCCCCAATCCTAGACTAACACTTTAACTACCACAGCACACCAGCTCTGGTCCTCCTGGAGGTTCCACTGATTAAGTATGTCTTTTGCAGAGGTTTACAATTAAGCTGTGCAGAGGCCAAAATTCTTGCCACTGCGCTGAAAGACGCTGTCCCGATGGGTGGGACAATGAGCAAGACCTCCATAGCTGGTCCCAGCCCACAGTGGGACAGTGCTGGAGAAAGAAGTCTTGGGAATAATAAGTTGGCAGAATCAACATGCAATCCCATCCTGGGGAAGATAATAAGAACCACGGTTCTGCACTACTTTGCTTCATCCTTCTCTCTTTATTTGATCTAATTTTACATGTATGGAATAACTTCACAAATTGAAAGCAAATAAAGAAGATTGGAGTCAGAGTGATACAATGCACTTAATTGTCTGCTAATATTTTGTTTTTCTCTGAAGCGTTCACGTTTACAAACTGTATCTGAGGGGACGGCAGTATGCAGCGCCAGGCCACAAAGAGCCATAGACAGACGTCTGACAGAAAGACTTTTTAACCCTTTCCTTCCCCAAGCACCTTTACTGCTGAAAAAGTCCCTTCCCAGGCCAGCTTCTACAGACTGAAGCCTTGATAGCTAGATTTCATAAAACAGATAATCTGAGAAAAACTATAAGAACAGACATCTTAAAAAAAAAAATCACATCCTATTGGAATATTCAAACTGGTATGCTGAAAGGAACGTATGTTTGTGCTGGCACCATTATATTGTCATCACCCTTATTTTTGTTCCTTTAATATGCCACCAAAAACAAGCATCTTATATCAAATAAACTACTGCAAACTCCAAAGGACACCTTTCTTTTCCAATAATGCTCAGTCTGTTGTGGCTATATAATTTGCTGTCTAAACAAGCATTTTCAGTACCTTGCCACTAGCTGTTTTCATTAGTGCAAATTCTCTTCCTGCACCAAGAACGGCCGACTCTTCGTCAAACCCTGTACCTGGGACAAGAAACATCAATAGTTAAATCAAGCCATCTCATTCTCCAGTTCAGATGCAATTCCACGCAGGAAGCATCCAGATGCAAAAGCCTATATGGTAAATCCTTTTTTCCCCCTTTCATTGTAATGTTATAAATCTTGACACGCTGTATTATTTCAGTGCAGATTCCAGTGCAGAAATATGTATGTAATAGGATTATAAATTATGAACATTGCATTATTTAGAAAGCTTAGCGTACTGAAAATAAGAGAAAAGAAGTAAAATTTCTATCAATAGCATTTTAGGATGTCAATACTGCAAGCATAACATTATGGTAAATTCTAATTAACCCACAGCAGAAAGTCTGAAGAATCTATGAGCATCATGATTTACACGCCTTACTATGCATGCCATTTCACAAGACTACCATTTACATTCTACCAGGAAAATAGATGGTTGTAAAAATAATTAATTGGTGATAAAATGTGGAAAAATCAGTACTATCAATGACCGTGTAATTTTGTTCTTGATGTGTTTTTGCTTCCCATTCTATTTCATTCTTATTAAAAGTGTACAATATATAATTACAACGAAATAAAGACAATATGGTAGGAAGCTTAGCAGGTGCCACAGAAAGTACCTGACTAAGGACACCCAACCCACACTAGTTGTTGGGACAGCCAATTTCCGCGAGCCTAGTGTACTACCAGGAGGGATTCCACAGACCCAAATCCCCAGGGTCAAGGGAAGCCCAAGAAGACGGGGCACGGAGTATTGGCTGCAGAACAGGGAAACATCCCTGAATGCCAAGAGGGTTCAGAGCGCCTCCCTTTCACTATTGGAATAGAGGGTAGATGGCCACCTCCTCTAACACTGCATTCCTCCCTTGGGTAGGAGACTGGACTAGCTAACCTCCAATGACTCCTCCAACCCCTGCATTCTAGGACTCTGTTTTTCTAAGACCATGGAAGACCTCGGGATACAAGTGGCACCTGAACTTCTTTCTGCCTCCTTGCTATCTCTTTGCTGCATACAATCCATGTATCAACTAACCACTTGCTATAAATTGAGTGTTAACAACACAGGCCTCTACAGCCTAGATAGATAGATAGATAGATAGATAGATAGATAGATAGATAGATAGATAGATAGATAGATAGATAGACAGACAGACAGACAGACAGACAGACAGACAGACAGACAGACAGACCGACGAAAATCTGATCTCTTAAAACCTATGAATAAGACCATGAAAATCTCATGAGATTTGATCATCTTGCAAAATGTTAGCCATTTCCCCCCCGCCCCCCAAAATGTCAAGATCTTCCCTACGCCTAAAAAGGTTATCAACCTTTGCAATTCGGGGTACCTTGCGACTGCTGACCCCAAGAGGCCTCTCCTTATGGAAACCTTTCTGGTTATCTAAAAGACTTTTTTTTGGGGGGGGGCTTCAAGTCAATCTTGACTCCGGCATCCATGCAGTATTTTGGCAACATTTTTTGGAAGTGATTTGCCATTTCTTTCTTCCTAGACTTAGAAAGAGAATGTGATTGTCCCAAAGAACCCAGCTGGTTTGGTACCTAAGATGGGGCTAGAACTCATGGTCTTCCGGTTTTTGGCCCAGTGACACCAAACTGGCTATCTAAAAAGATTACAGTAATTAAAAACAACATTTCTAGAATGGATGAAATTTAAGACACAGGGATTAATGTTAAGTTAAACTTCAGGACTGTTTTAATTGATCTGCTTACTGTTATACTGCATCATTTTTTCTTTTCACGTGCCCCATGACAAAATGGATTGAATCAGTTGTACTTTAAAATAAGCAGTTGTAGGGTTTATTTTCTATTTTAGGAAAATAAGGTTTAGTGCAAGGGGCACAAGCATGCACTGCTCCAATTTTTATAATCTTCTGGAACTCTGGAAGCTTCCGAGTGGTCACTGCTTGAGACAGATTATTTATTTTTACTTCCTGGCAACCCTCGGCACATGACATCAGGCTGGTGGCTGCCTAAGACCACCAACCCTGCCCACAAGTGTTCCCAATTCTGCTCTGCCCAAGACTCTGTTTGAGAACAATTGATGAACCTTCTTTTCTATCTACTGAGCCCATGTCACGGTTCGCTCCCTTCTTACATGTAGTCTGATTTTCAGAGATGCTCTGCAAACAAGCAAAAAATAGAAAAATGATTTCCTTACTAATAATGTGCAAATCTTTTTCCAGATCAAACAGTGAGATACCACACGCATGTAAGCATTTTCTGGCAAGTTTTAGCTGAAGTTCTTGCTGTAATACAGGTTCCGTACTTGTTGCAAATATTCGAACTACAAAGCCATCCTGCAACACATAACAGGCAGATCAATACTCCTGCTTTTTCCACGTGGCATCTCACTTAAAAAAATGTATGCAGGACAAGACACGGATTCTTTTGAGTAACATGTAAATACAGTAAACAAAACAACACTACTCAAATGAATCATTTTCATGTTATTTGCAAATTAATTTAAACACAGTCAGTGCAGTTTAATGCCTAAAGCCCATGGGGCAGAATAATTGCAGTTCATAAATACCGTGCGCACTGTATCAATGTTATATACAGAACCGGTTAAATATTTGGGTAAAAAACATCCAAACTGAAGGGTGCTGAAAAATAATATTGTACTCCTTTTACTCTTTGTTTTGGTTAAAAATGTTGTTTCCGCTGTTTTCAGTATTTATTAACACCTCACTGTTCTGGAAAGTAACAAGGATAGCAAGTTTCTTGAAGCTCTTCCAATAATCAATTGATTATTGGTTAATAAGATGAAAAATTCTACTTATTCTCTTCATTGTCCAACTTATAGCAGAAAAGAGATCCTGAGACATGATGAGGTTATCAACAACTTTTTCTATGGTTTTCCCATATGTTCCTTACCAACTTCCTGCTGTAGACAAATTAGTTACAGTTAAAAGTATTTCAATGCTGGGCTTCGTTCTGGAAGTTGTTGCCTGATGGAGAGGGGAGGGAGGTTTAATGTTGTTTGTGTTTCATTTCCATGAACCTACTAGTAGCTCTGGAGGGACAAGAACAAACACCACTGAACTGCAAAAATTTATTACAAAATACCCAGAAACTTCTCTTGGAGAAAACTTCAACAGCTTGGTTGTGAATTAGGACCCATGTCCACAACCGTATAATGGCTTGGTTGAAAAAAGTCATACTGGTTGTCTATTATTATCCAATTACTATTTAACCATTACAGCTTTAAGGACTCCCACTTTCAGTATGAATCTGCCTAGACATCATAACCTGAAGGAGAAGGCATATGCATGGAGTTTCTGCTTTCAGAGGTTAGACGCAGAGGGGAGGGTTTTTCTCCTACAATACCCATTGGCTTGAGAAGAAGAATCAAACTCTCTCTTTCGCCAAGTCTTCAACAGCCAATTACTGAATGTTTCAGTCTTGGTTTCCATGAGCTTTATATATCTGCCCTGGTAAATTTATACTGGGGAAGAAACTGATGCAGCAAATACCACACATGGATGGGCTGAAGTGATTCTGCTGGAAGGTAGAGAGAGATGGAAGGATGGGCCCACCAATCATCCAGACAGAGTATTTGTGCTCAGGAGGGGCAATCATCTTGATCTTTATTGTGCTGGGATCTTCTTCTATATTCTGTCTGTAATTCCAGGATATCATACAATATTCTGTTGACATATGGATCCTCCTTGATAGTATATCACACTTCGGGACAGAACGAATGCTACAGGACTCTGTTTCTAAGAAGGATGGCTGAAAGAGAGCCTCAGGACCTAAACCTCTCGTTTCCAATAGTGATCATTTGACCATCAGGCAATTTGCGGCTTCTTCCAAAGAGAGGGTAAAGGAGAAAGTAGCAGTGCCAATCTCCTGCTCAAAGTCCAAAACAACATCACATACACTCTTCTTTACATCACATACAGTTTCCCCTTCAGTTGTAGCCTCTTTCCATCAGAATTTTCATGAGATTGCCTGTGAGGTCATGGTCAACCAAATCAAACTGCCAGGTGGCATGAGGAAGAACACAGCTCACATAAATGGGCAAAGTATATGTGACACCATTTCCATTATCCTTTACAATAGCAGTAATATAACCAGAAGTGTACAGGAACAGCGTAACCTGAATGGCTACTTATGTGGCTGGAATGGTCAATGCCTCAAATGTTATCTGTCTTCTATGCAATCCGTTGGCCTTGGGCTTCAAAGGAGCTTCCATAATGAGAACGGGGCAACATGAAGCTCCTTGTAAAAACAGTAATGCCAAATTTTCTTCATACCATTCCAGTGGGAGACAATACCATGTTCAGCGCAGTCCTTCAGGTCAGCATATCCTTCTTGCTTTGGGCCTCATTGCCCCATATAGCTGTCTTTCTCCACTATACCAACCACAAACACAGAATTGCAGCAACTGAGGGAAACAGTATGAGGAGCATCTTTCCCACTAAACTTTGTCTTAGATAAATCAGAACCATATTAGTGACAAATGTTGCAATTTTGTTTTCCATTCTGCAGATCTGTAAAGTGATAGGAGTTTTCAGAAGTAAGGAAAAGAGGAGCCAATGCTGCTTGGTCCGCTGCCACTGGGTGAGGGCACTTCTTGGAGGAATGTCTGTTTGCTCTAGATTAATTGACAAGGAGCAGGAGATAATTAGGATATTTCCAATGGAAACACATTGGCTTGGTTGTAAATCAGTTAACAGATAACACCAGGGCTGTGAATTAGGCAGAGAAAGATATCCCTTGCCTGCAACTTGTAGCTGTGACTTAGCCACAGTCAAGAAAAGCAAGCCCACTGCAGTCTGATAATTTGGGGCTAAAGATGTTCAGGGGTCATAAGCCAACGGTCCATTAGCAGAGCAAGAATTAAGAGAAACCACGAATGAGAGGCCAGAAGAATGTGCCAGTCTCCGCTGCTGAGCCCTCCATAGGGGACAGCACATTTTAGGCCATTGCAGTTTCCCAGGTTTGGGATCTGATTCCTCATTCTTTGAATCGACAACCACCCGCCCTGAGTCTGAACTCTTATTTTCAGGTGGATGACCACTTGCTGATGCATCAGGCTGAGAGTCCGCTAGGCCCTCTTCTTCAGCTTCAGAATAATGGGAATCCATGTCACTGCCCCTGCCATGGGTGGAAGTTGAATCAACCTGCATATTCTTCTCTACTGCCTTTTTTACTCTCTTTGGTAACAAGAACTAACTTTCCTCTTGCGCCAATCTATTTTGGAATTGTAGAAAACAGTGACCTTGCCCTCCATCTTTAGTGGGTAAGTCAAGGAAGACGTCTAGAGGGTTGCAAATGTTTGTGCAATAGCTACTGCAGTGGGCTCAAGAATTGCACAATCACTGTAGAGCACAACTTCCCACAGTTGAGACCTCCAAGGTAAATCTAAAATACAAGGGTATACATCATTTTTATGTATATCCTTGTATTTTACCACATCTCTCTAGCAACACTTCTTAACCAATTTAAGATTTCAGCAGTTATGGAATCAGAATTTTAATATGTCAATAGCTTACTACATAGTAATATAGAATTGTAAGCAACTTTGCAATTTCAGGTCTTTTCTGTACCTAGATCTATTCCTGCATTCTAGTTTTTTAACTTGCTTTCTATTACCCTGTGCAATTTGCTTAACCACTTTTTCTTTATTTTTTGGATTCTGTGTTTTAGTTTTTGTTAGCCACCTTGAATATAGGAACGCAGAGAGAATCCAAAACCATTCTGTTCATTCAGCTGCTTTAGAGAAAAATGTTTGAATATCAGCACAGACATATTGCATTTGAAACCAGAGATACTGCTGACAGAACAGCCTCTTCCATCAGCCTGGATTGATTCTCCTCCTCCAACTATCCCCCAGAATTGGCTCCAGTTAGGGAAACTTCTGAAACACTTATTAGGCACAAAACAAGGCAAAGCAATGGAGAAGAGAACAAAGGGAACAGTGTTCAAGTTCACAAACATAATGTTTAAATCCAAGTGTGCCAAAGGTGAGCTGATTTTATCAGTTGCTGTTTGTTAATGTGGTGGCGCATGCACCAGCAGCTCTTTTAAAGGAACTTACACTACAATTGAAAATCAGATTAAAATCATTACTATTGTATTACTAGTAAGCATCGTCATTGTAATAATTAAGTCTAATTTCCAACTATAATAACTTTTTAAAAATTCTGATATTCCACAGGCAATCAAGCTAACAAGATTTCAGCTGATGAAAAAAAATCCACACTGAATAAATCTTGATGGCAAGGAAACGAACGCTGCCTCTTTTTCTCTGACTGATTGCCTGAGGTAAATTACTGCGACTTAGCAATACCTCATTAAAATTATGCTGTTCTGCATGAAATAATCTGGAAATATATTTTTCAAAATGCCAGGAATATCTACAATAAAGGCAGAGTTAGAGGCTAGCATCTGAATATTTCATATCTGCTGGCAATCCTTTTAACCCCAAAACTAAAAGTCAGAGGAAATTCTAAACTTACATCTCTAGAAGCTGCTATCTGATTAATATACTCTCCATCAGTGAAAAGGATGTGCTGTCCTTCCATCTGACAGTCTGGGGAGAAAAAATAATTGCTATGTCATTTCATATAAAATATTTCATCTTCCAATGCTCCACAAAAATAGCTAGATTCAAAATTTTGGGAAAAAGTAAACTGAAGACTTTCAGAAGTAACTGTGTTGTTCTGTTGCTGTAAGAACAACTGTCTCTTGGGGAAACTCAACAACTGTTTTACTATATATACAGAAAAAAATTCTTATACTTCAAACTGATACTTCAGCAGATAAAATACATGTACAGCACTATTAAATGATTTCCGCAAACTACTGAATGATTACATTGTATGAACAAGAACTGCTACCGAGTAGCATAAAAGTATTTTTTAAAAATTTATTTATATTTCAAATTTGGTCACTGCCCATCTCACCAGGAAGTGACTCTGGGTGGTTTACAGTAAAAATAAAAAATAAATATTAATTAAAATACAATAAAAATACAATAAAAACATATTCATACATAAATAATACCATCTTCCAAGGTGCTATTCCAAAGTATATTTATATAACCCTAATAACTGCTGAAGAATGGAGTTGTGTCCAATATCAACTCTGTTCTGGTCGTTAGAAGAGGTGCAGGGATTGTAAGAGAGATTTAAGGCAATACAGACAACAACTGGGAGTGAGCTTGGAAGAAGAGCCACTTGGCTTCTGGAAGGGAAGAGAGCATACCCTTCTGCGTCCAGATGAGGGCGGCCCCTTCTCTTAAGAAAGAGGGGGCAGACCACAGTCTCAAGTCAGGGAGACTACTTAGCCTCCCAGTCAGTCACAAACTGACCTCTCCAGGGGACTAGGATTGAAGATTTCTGTCCTGCTTTTCACTGGGGGTGGGGGAGGAGGGGGCTTTTAAGGATGGGAGCTGCAGCATTTTATTTCACGGAGTTCTTGCGATCCCACTCTTAGGTTCATGTTTTTAAGCTGAAATTCAAACCACTGAATTTGGGCCATTTTGCCAACAAATTTCCTTCTGCTTTCCAGCGGTGGCTGGGAGTGAGAATGAATCTCTCACTCCCCAGAGGCTTGGTGCCCCACTCCCATCTTCTTCTAGGTCTGCAAGCTGATAACTGTGCCCACAAAATTCAAACAATATGCAAACGGTCTGGAGCCTCCAAATGAGATTCTGGAGGGGCATGCAACCTTGCAGTCTCTCATTTTTGATGTAAGGATGCAGCTTAGCCACGAAATCTAGGTAGAAGACTCCCATTTTACCAATCAGAGGTTTAGGCGCCCTGAAGAAAGCTGCCTCACGTGCATGGTTTTTACAACCTTCCCAACCCTGAGCATCAGCACAAGCAGAGGAAATCCCTGCTTTGTGCTCCTTCCCTCTCACCTTCCCAGCCCAAGCGCCCGCTTTACTGACGAAACCGCTCCAAGCGCTCCCGTAACCCTGCCCTGCTCTCTCACACCCCCTATTATCAGAGGAGGCCTGAGTCCATCTGCTCATTGGTCTTCCTACCTTCCCTCAGCAACCAACCCATACACGGGATTTCTCAAGCCCTATTCAGCTATGACCGGCTTCCAGCCTGCCACCGAGTGCTTGCTATCGGCTAAACCTGAAGAGATTCAACCCTGCCTCCGTGAGACTAAAGAAAACATCCGTGAAAAGATCAGGAAAGGAAATCTGCATGCAAAGGGCTGCAGGTGCTCCCACATGGGATGGAGACGCACCGAAGACCTGTGGAAGAATTAGTGCTGGGCAACGCAGAGGCAGTAACTCGCGGCCGAACGCCCCGCAGGGCACCCAGTGGCTTCGCTCTTCCGGAGCCCATGAACGGAGCCTTTCTACAGCATGACCATAAAGTGGAGGCTTGCTCCGCTCTGCCAAGGCCAAGGACTCGCTCTCCCTCCCCTGGTGTAGCTCAGGCGTGGTTTGGTATTCCAGGAGCTGCTCCTACTCCTAGAGAACACGATGGCCTCCGGCACAGGAGAGGATGATGAAATCAAGACTTACCTTTTGATCAAAACTCCTCACCCACAGAAAGCTAACATGCCAATTTTCTTTCTTTCTGCATTGGGGCAGCTATTAGAATATGCCCATTAATGTATCTTTATCACTCTTAAGCACTGGTGTTTATGTAAGATATACTCTGATCTGATACATCCAATCAGTCACGGATGAAGGGACATCCTGTCACTCATTAATTTCTACTCAATGGAAGGTGCTGTGTCTTTTGTTAACCTTTAGAATAAAGAGATTTATTAGATCCAGTACCCTCCTGTGCATACCTGGCAGTGTTACTATTCCATCCTGTTCCAAAGATTCAGGATTTATCCTTATGGCCGTCCTGCTGTGATTGTTTATGTCCCGGTACAACAAATAGCCCTGAAAAAGACCAGATCGCAACACGGACCTTTCAGAATTGCAATCTCAGGGATAAATGGAACGCCCTTTCGCCATTCATGGAGCTTCCCATTCTGCCAATAGGGGAAGGGCAAACACACTCACATGCCATATTTAGCAGACAACAGCATAAACTTTAAAATAATCCTCAAGAATCTCAAATAGCTGAAAGCAACACAGAACAAGCACTCCATAATGATGTCGGATGGAGAGGTTAGCAGGCGACAGGGCCACCAGACTGTCATTAGCAGGTGCGGTAAGAGTGCTTAACCCAACATGGGCTCTTGCTCGCGTTTGGCTTCAATTTCCTCCAACGGTGCTTTGGCATCTCTTCTGGCATTTCATCTCCCTGAGTTATTCAGAAAACCAAGGTCTTCTCTGGGACTGACACAGAGTGAGAGCAATTTGGTCTAAGGCCCTCATCATATGCCCAAGGCTTCAGCCAAACCAACCATCAGATCCTCCGGAAAAAAGAAATAAGCTCCTTCTGGAACCCGGAGGGTTCACTAGCTGCCTGGGAAGACTGGTCTAAGGAGACCTACCTTCTTACGGGAGGGGTCAGCACCGATAACCCAACAAGCAATCAGAGAGCGATTTGTCAACGTCCTCCACACCCAGATCACTTTGCAACTGCCCCAAGATGAAAACCTCAGCTAGTGTGTAACCTGCAGTGTGGTTTGGGCTTTCAGTCTCCGTGCTTGGTGACAACCCTGTGGATGTGAGCTCCTGAGCCATCCCGGACTCAACGCCCCTGGGAGGAGACTAAAACCCTTCAAGACCACAAGCCCTGAGGCTTCCACCGCCAACCCAGAGACTAGGAGGTCAGGCAGGGAGGTTTTTGTGCAGCAGGTAGGCCAGCACAGCAGCAACCACACAAACTGCTCCGCAGGGCCAAACTTCAACCAGATAATCATCTGGTTCTCTATGGAAGAAAGCCTCTGAAAGACAACACGGCTTCCTGGAGGACAGCTGCCCCACACCCACCTCTTGGGGACTGTTAAAAGCAAACTAAGAGAGAGATCATCCTTGTTCTTTCTCAAAGGAAACAATGTTAGAAAATAATTTTTGTGAGCAGCCCAAATACACTGTAACCTTGTTTGCTACTAGAGATCTTCATTTTGTCAGAATTACATTTCTAGAAGTACAGTTAATGCCGCTTCCTTTCTATTTCCACCTTTAGAGCTATAATGAATTGATACAATATTTCACCCAAAGTAATAGGCTCATTCAATTCAGAATTACATTTCTTAGGGTTTGCTTTCAATCTTTTTCCTACCTGAGCATAACCCAGCCATGATTTCTTCTCTTTTCTGTTTTTGATGCGAGATGTGGAATTGTATATATGGCCCTGTAATGAAGTAAAATATCATAACATTCTTGAAATTGCCTTTTTTAAACCAAAAAGTAAAATACAATTACAAGAAAAACTGACTGGAAATCTTTCCGTGGCCTTTTATCACACCATATGATTTTCTATTCATAAACGTCTATCATCGTTCATTTTAAAATATTTTATGCAAGTTTTTATCTCATAGGATACGTTACCCTGACTGTTCCACTGTATCCAGAACCAACTTTGTACAGTCCATCTTTGCATAACAGATACAAAAAGTAGCCGTCACTCTGCAGCAGAGTTGGGTCGTCTTCATCTACCGAAACGTCCTTCAATGACCATTTGTGCATTAGGGCTGCTTTCTTAATCCCACTGCTGAACCAATCCTGGATTTGTATTTTGCCTACCAAAACTGCCTGCACGCTCCTCTGAAGGGAATTTAAGATAGCTGGTACCTAATGGAGAAAAACAACAACCCAAAACTATTACTTATCATCAGAAACTTTAAACCACCAAACCTAA